CAGTAGGTCCATGTTTCAAGCCTCCAGCTGCTCTGCCATGGTTTTTTCCAAGTCCTAAGTGCTACATGCCATTTATGACACATGTGCATGGAACACCCTGGGTTATGTTGAGCTTCCGCGATGCTTTCTCCTTTGGGAATGGCGGCCATGTCTGATTGACTCACAATTGCTGGCCGGCTTGCAGATGCAGCGCCAACGTAAACCGATAGAACTCATATGAAAATCGTACCTGAACCCCTTGGAATACCCTAAACAACCGTTCCCCACAGCCCAAGGACCCAACGAATCGAGCAAACCAAAGATAAACTCATGACCAACGTGAATTGTAACCTATTACCAACATGATCAATCATAATCAATGGTGGCACATACGATAGAGCATGATGAGATACGTAAAGAAACTGGTTTGAAAAAATATGCTAAACAACCAATGATAGCTGATGAATTCAGTGACTGACAAAAAAACTGGCAAAACACCTGGCGAACCATGAAGGCGCGCAAACGTTGCAAAAACCAGCGACCTCTCCGTGACCTTTGATCATGTTTGGTTCGATAGCGATCGGCTGTGGTGACTGCGGGTCTGCGACAACGTAAATTCTCATCTGCGCCGACCTATATGCGTCGGCTGACTTTACGTAGTTAGTAGTCTGCGTTGATGGTCATCACTGTCAACCGTGTCTGACACCAATCATTGGCCGGCTGCCAATCGAAATGCACCAGCTTGAAATGGTTTGCCGCCCAGACCCAACCGCAAGCAACTCTTTGCTGGACGCATCCCATCCACTCCAATGTCAATCACCTAGCGAAAAGGGATGGAAGGTTTCCGGCAAACAACTTTCCAGGAGATGAAACTCGAACAGTTTCTTCGGTTTTGCTCCCTTTGCTCGAAACAATAGGCAACAAAATGATGCAGACAGAAAACATGGTCGCTGAACGAAAGACATCCATTCTCAGCTCTGCCAGAATTGATAAAAACCCGCGCAACCATGACGCACATGCATGACTTTTAGCTTCGCTTTTGCGATGCAGTCAAAAGATCCAGCTATCATCATCGCTGCTGGAGTCCTCAACATCCAAGGGCGGATCAGTCGACATTCCATCTGTATCGCGCGCCGGTAGTCTTCCGGCGACCCTGGGCAAAAGGCTGACCCTTCTATAGGACAATGGATCGCCCATGTCAATTGGACGGGTGTGCCCCTAAAGTTGGAAAAAAGACACCGCTATGAGAAATAATTGGGAGATGGTTTTGAAACGGTGGCTGCAGTGATGATGATGATGATGATGATGATGACGATGATGATGATGATGACCATGATGATGAAGATGGCGATGATGATGATGAAGATGACGATGATGAGGATGATGATGATGATGATGGTGCTGGTGATGGTGATACTGTTGATGAGGGCAACAAAGACCTGGTTGACCATGGTTACGGTGATTGCGAGGATGAAAGTGATGGTGGGGATGATGCTGATCAGGATGAAAAAGAAAATGATAACGATGATGCTGGAGATGGCGAAATTGATGATGGTGACAATGATATCATGAAAGCGGCGGCGGTGTAAATGGTACTGATGCTGAAACTGCTGAACACGTGTAACTACAGTTCAGATTTGATAGGTAGTCCTTGTGACAAAGGTTCGTTCACACTTTTGGGAAAATAGCCGGGCAATCCCTTGGAACTGATATGTTTCGAAAAAGTTGGCGCACAGTGAGGCTGGAGAAAAAACTGCATGCGAGAACATCAACTGGCAGCAAAGATTTTGATAAACAAGTACCAAGGAACACTGGCGGCCCATTGTCGAGTGTTTCGAGGCATGACCATAAAGCATCGGCGGTCTGAACCCGGAGAACCATGCCATAAATACACTTGGATTGCCTTCTCAAACCCATTCCCCAGTATGCAACCACTTGCAGAGACTCGTGGTCAAAGAGACACAGCTCAGGCCTCCAGGACCTACAAGTCTGCGACAGGAATACGGTGGTTCCAAGCAGGATTTCCTCAGCCTTGTGTCGCCGAATAGATAGAGTCCAGGTCCGTTGGCGGGTCAAAACAGCTTGGCAGAACGACTCTGGTACATTTTCCCAATCATCCTGGCCAGTGGTTGTCCGCGCAAAAGGGACGCCAATTGTATTGTAAAGGAGTTTTCCCCATGGCAAACAATGGTGGTTGCCCGGACCAGAAATCTTCGCCACTGCTCAAACAGGAATGGCACATTACCTTGGACAACGAAATCATTGTAGTTTGGCAGGGCAAACGGACCAGCACAACTGTATGTTTTCTACACCTCTTCCTTGGGAGGTTTAGATTCAAGCTTTTCATTTCATAGAGACTCTTTAAAATACGCATGAACCAGCAGCCACTATAAAATGACTAGGTTTTGCCGGCCAGCAAAGGTAGCAGTCCAAGAGCAAAAGACTGGGCTGCACAAAATGATTTGACGTCCAAAAAGCGATATTAAACAGAAGGACGACATTCCACTATAACTTCACTTTACTTTGACAAGATCTTATCCAAACCTAGAAGCCTCAAAAAACAGGTACTGTGAATTGACTGGGCAATGCAAATTTCAACCCTGGTTCAAGCCTTCTGGCACCTTCCACATCTGTCTGGCCCAGGCCGCCGACTAAAAAAATAGTCTAACATTGATCGAAGGAAGTTTAGAAGTCTAAGTTTGGACAATATCCAAGGTTGCAGTCAGTTAAGTTAGTCAACCAGTCAGTCAAGTCAGCCAGTCAGTGAGTCAGTAGAGAATCAATAGAGTCGCGTGTGCAAGATTAAAAAGGGAAGGAAGTCGCGAAATGCTGTGTTTTCCATGGTTTTGTGGCTCCGGTAGCTCCAAAAGAAAGGTTGCTAAAACGGTGGGCGCGAAGAGATCGGCCGGCTCCAAAGGATCACAGAAAGTTTGCACCACACTGTGGCGCGAAGCACATGTCCAAGTCACTTCTTAGTGTCGAGCAAATGTTGGAAGTTGAGACGTTGACTCGCTATAGCGCGGATGCGACCGAAACGACAAATTACCTCATGCTCGGGCCACTTTTCAATGTCTAACTTGTGTTTCGCGTAGCAAGCGCAAGGGAATCTGCGCCTCCAAAAAAGTAGCCAAAATCCAGTGGCCCAGCGTTTTCAACACCTGTCAAAAACGTTGGCAGGCTGGTCATCGGAAGCATGTGTCGAAGAGGTCTAATTTTCGTTCCTGAGCCTCCCTTTTTCGTGGCTAGATCAAGTAGATAGCCAGATCACACAGATAGCTAGACTTAGATCAGATAGGTAGCTAGATCAGACAAATAGCTAGATCAAACAGATAACTAAATCAAATGAACAGTTAGATCAGATAGATGGCTAGGTTAGATCAGACAGCTATCTAGATCAAAGAGATAACTAGGTCAAATAGATAGCTAGATCAGATAGACAGATAGCTAGATCAGATAGAAAGCTAGATCAGATCAGCAGTTCAGGTCAGGCTCCACAGCCTCAAAAGTCGCGCAATGCTTCTACTGGTTTGAATCGGTCGTTTTACAGAGATCCAACTTTGGGGTATTGCTTCTTTGTAAGCTTGAAGCGGTGAACACCTAACATACACAAATGTTTCAATGTCTCTAAAATCAAGCGCAGGGGCGTAGCTCCAGTGGCTGAGGGTGCCGTCGTCGAACCTGTCTTGCCTGGAGGCTTTGAGAGAGAGCATCCTGCCAGAATTGCACTCGGCTCAAGACTGCCTCAGCCTCACTGTCAGCTTCCGACTCACCGTTGCCGCTGGAACTGCACCTTCGAAACGCATAGAAGCCTTGCAACATCATATCAGCAACTCCTGCAGGGAAACAATCTGCACAACCATCGTTCCCCACGCCCCGCCAGGGGCAGTTGCTGAGGTGCTGCAGTGGAGATGTTTGCGCGATGGGTGCGTCCAGAAACAAGGTGAGATTTGAAGATGCCCTTGACAAAATGATAGCAGCTCGCCCTGGATCTCCCAAAGTGCCATGACATTGGTCTTCTTGGGCATGTCGCCGGAACATGATTCCAATCACATATTTTGCCTCGCACCCCTTGGCTTGCTTGACAGTGAGGACCTTCACTTTCAAGCGGAGAAAGGTCAGGAAAGCTTCAATCTTATCCCGCAGTGCAGAATAATATGTGACGACAATCGTGTCCTCCAGATCCAAATCATCCTTGTCACTAATTGAAGCCGCTAGCAATGTAAATGCAATGGGAGATGCGACGTCGCCTGCAGGCACATCCAAGGAACTTCCAACCGCCAGGAATGTACCTAAATTAGAAAAAGAATGAACACCCAGATTTGGATAGGGACTTCCTGTAGAATAACGCTGGCAGCGCTGGAGCCTGATTCCTGATGTTTTGTAGCAAAAACAAAATGGTGGTACCCATGTTGTTTGCCACAAAATGGTTGCATCCATGTTCCTCAAAAATCGTCTGACGAATTAAACTGTTCCAAAAAACATGGCAGGAAACACTTTGTGCAGATCAGTACAGATGATGTGTCAGACGGAAAGTGTCCCGGATTGAATTCAAAGTATCTTCCCAAGAATATGAAAACATACAGGCCAAAGAATATGCCACATTCAATGCTAAAAAAGTGCGCCGCATATATTTGCAAAGTATAAATTCCAAAACATATGCCAAAGACTGCATGGAAATATAGGGCATATATAGTTTGTCGGAATGCACATCAACATATATGCCAAGTCTAATGAAAAAAGAAGCGGCAGAACAGACGTATCAAAATATCAAATCATACACCCAAATACTCAGCATGTAAAGCACCAAGATGTATGTCAGGTAAAATCGCTCGAAGCAAGTAATTGGTCAAAGCCCAGCCTGCTCGCATGGTGTCATTGGTCCAATCGTCGGTGTTGATGTACCAGCACATGACTTCGGTTTGCGGCGCATGATCTGAGGCTCGGAGGCCGCTGTAGGACTGAGGCAAGCAACTCTGGAGCTGTTCGACTGCCATAGGCCCAAAGCGCCTGGTCTCGCGCAGCTGCAACTGTGGCCCTGTGAAGAGAATGGTGGCTTCAGGTTCCCGATCAGCCTCAGTGAGCCACCTGTTTTCCCTGCTACCAGTTGGCCACAAACTTTGGCCAGGGTCAAAGGCAAGGATAACCTCGGCACAATTCCAAGTCGCACACATCAAGCCTCCGAGGCTGTTCATGTCCGCCTCATCCAAGTAGACAACACTGATGCGCTTGTCGCGCAAAAGCCGGTCACCAGAAGAAGCCTCACGCGCCTGGTGCTTGCACCAGTAGCTGTAAGTTGAAACAGCCACTCTGGCCGAGTCG